TCGATAGTGTTGTTATTAAGACTGTCCTTATTTAAGTTTAGACATAATCCAAATGCTTTGTATCCAATTGAAAATATTACGTTCACATTTAGTCCGTATTATGTTCAATTGGTTCAAATTACAACACATACATGTCAAGAGTTCATTATAACGAGAGTGACTGGTATAAGCAAATAGCATATTGAACGAACCTAATGACCAAGAAGTCAGTGTCTTTGGCATCATGGCTAAATAATGGAGCTCTAATCAAATTATTAAATAATGAAGGTATAACTTGTCCTCGCTCAACGTCCCCAAAATTCATAAAAGGCGACTCATCCATCATATCAAGTATTACCGGATCACCTACGCTGAGCTGAAATGATTAAAAACTGAGCGTTCAGTCTACTTTGATAAAAATTAGTTTTCGCGTAACAATTCATTACCTCAGGAACATAAGTGTCATACGGGTCTGTTTTACGATAGTAATTAAGTAACAAACTTCCCATTCCAATGTTAGAAAGAATTGGCGGATATTCTTCCTGTAATTCAATTAAAAATTTCGTAAATAAAGAAAAATACACAAGGTAGTTGATATTATAGAACTAAAAAAATTTCTACCGAATATGAATAGTTGGTTGTTGAGAAACCTTTATTAAAAGTAAAAAAAATTAGCCGCAGCTTCTTTTTATAGTCATTTAAATTTTAAATGAAAATTACTTGATACTTACCCAACCAAATTCAATCAAAATTTTTTATTTTAATTATTCTATTGATATATAAAATATTAAATTAAAATAAAAAAAAATTTAATAGAATTTGGTCAGATAAGTAAGTATTAAGTAATATTTGTTTAAAACTTAAATGCCTACAAAAAAGAAGCTGTTTTTTTTTTTTACTTTAACAAAGATTTCTTAACAACTAACTATCCATATTTAATAAAATTTTTTTATTTTGATGCTATGCTTTTATAGAATTAAAATAAAAAAATTTTCATCAAATATGATAGTTAGTTGTTAAGAATCCTTAATTAAAAAAAAAATTGGCTGCAGCTTTTTTTTATAGGTATTTAAATTTTGAACGAAGATTATTTGATACTTACTTAACCAAATTCGATCAAAATTTTTATTTTAATTCTATTAATATATAGAATTAAAATAAAAAAAAAATTGATCAAATTTGGTCACAAGTAATCTTCATTCAAAATTTAAATGCCTATAAAAAAGAAGCTATAGCCAATTTTTTTTTGCTTTTAATAAAGATTTCTTGACAACCAACTATTCATATTTAATAAAAAATTCTTTACTTTAATTTTATAAACTCATGGAATTAAAATAAACTTTTTTTTATCTAATATGGATAATTGGTTGTTAAAAAATCTTTACTTAAAAAAAAAAAAAAAACTTCCCCGATTTTAGCCAAGATATTCAAAAATTTTTTAATTTTTTTCTGAAATTTTTTTTTTTTTTTTTTTTTTTTTTTTTATTAATATAATGCCATAGTAGAAACTTTATTACAAAAAACCTAAATTA